CTCCAGAATTGAAGCTAGACCTTCAACTCATCCTCTGAAACCTAAAAGTCCATTCATAATGGGCCACTCTGGCTCTGGGTTTCTGGGCTCCTGCTATCCAGCTGTGCTTCTTATCATCATAAGTAACTATCTTTCTTATTCACATTCTAGTCATGCTTTACACACAAGTGAGAGATAAAAGAGAAGTCATGGAGACCTATACCCAGCTACAAAGAACAGAGGCTTCATTCAGCTCCCTGAAAAAGGTGCTGACTCTAAGTAGAAGGCCATTTTGGGAAGTACAAAATTTATGGCTGAACTGATGGCATAAACTATTATAACATTTCTTTACATAATATGTCAGACCACAAAACGAGAAAAGAAAAATACCTCTCCATAGTCAAGTTCAAAGACCACAGGATGTTGACAGAGAGATATCCCATCAACCTGCCATTTGTATTCTTTTCAGTCAACCAATGGAATCATTTTCATAATCACTAACAGATAAAACCCTAAAAGGATAGACATCATCTCTAGAAGACCCAAAATAAATTATCTATTTCTTAAGACTGATTCCATTCCATTAGTATAGCATATGCTGAGTAAACCTATACATTAGGAAGATGGATAAATGAGTGAACTGAAGGACAAACAAATGAACAGATAACAAACATGTGCAAGTCAGAGCAAGCCTAGAGCAGGGGTGGGGCCAAAGGGAAGGCAAAGGAGACACGATAGGGGAAAGAAACCTAGAAACAAAATCTACATCAGAACTTTGTACAAAAATATGCTTGTAAGAATCACTGAAGCACATTTTGGTGTCTTTCCTTCAAAATGAGTACATTTCAACAGTCTCTTTGCTTAATGACCAAAGTTTAAGTAGTCCTAGCTTGGCCTTGAAAGGTGACCTAGCCTTGGTCTTCCCATTTAAAACTGTGAGACTTTTTTTTCCCTCAACCCACAGCTGGCAAATTACAGTGTTCCGGTATTTGAACCAGACATGAACAACTTTATACAGAATGAAATTTCAACTAAGCAAGTTCTCTGAACTCAAAGATTTCTTGCAAATTAGGCATATCCTACAAACCCACTCTTGATAAAGTTGATGGTGACTCGTCTTCAACAGCCAAGCCTGTGCATTTGAGGGTTTTGTTAGTGCTGAATGCTGAATTTGTGATTTTAAACATGAGTTCTGGTTATTTTAAGCCATTCCTGTCTTTTTGATGGCACTGTAAAGAAAGAACCTCAGAGAGAGCTTTGATTCTCTCATAACAGTTTCTAGCAAAAAATCACTCATTTCTATTTGTAGAAAATTTCCATTACCTAATAAATGTATCCACCATCCCCAGAACAATCAATTAATCAGAATATTATTCAATACATACAGAGTGGAAGCCAACTACCCAACTTAAGTCCTCATTAATCAAAAATTACATAGGTTTTCCAATATCCTGAGACGTTAACCTGTAATTCATCTGTTGATGGATGTGCAGCCACAAACCATTCAACAAACTCGTGAATCTCTGAAATCAGGTGAGGGGTTCATCGATTTCCAGTGAGGTGCAGCAAATGGGAAAGGCCATTATAACTGGGTGTCTCCAGGCACTGGGGACCCATTTGGATGACTTAACAAATTCCCCCAAAAGCCAGGAACTTAAAATATGTATTCTGCTGGTCTGAAGTGCTACTTTGAAATAATTCTTTGGGATTAAGTAAAGGCTTTAGAAACAGATACAATTGGAATCTACACAGCTGGGGGAAACTTTTCCTGCAATCTTCACGAGGAGGCATCTCCTTAAAATGGTACACACGCATATCTCACCCTATACCCTCACTCACTTGGAGAAGGAACCAATCTCATCTCCCATCCTTCTCTACTTGCATTTCAGCAATAAACCTTCTGAAAGATAGAAACAGACCAGCATGGACCCTAGTTATACTTAAGTAAATTTTTGTCGGAATAAAATATATGTACAGAGACATACATGACAATTATATAGCTCAATAAATTTGTATTGAGTAACCACCAGCCAGATCAAGAAATTAAATATTACCAACACCCCTAAAGAATCCTTTGTGTCCTCTCCCAGTTACCTCCCAAAAGTGGCTACATATCAGAGATTAGTTTGCCTGGTCTTGAAATTTACATAACTGGAACCCTGAAGTATTGCACCCCTTTATATCTGGTTTCTTTGGTTCCATGTTATGTCTGTGAGAGGATACACGTTGTTGTTTGTGGCTTTAATGTGCTCACTCCCTGCTGTGTAACATTCCACTGTGTGACTATACCACAACTCATCCATCAGACTGTTGAGGGACATCTGAGCCACTTCAAGCGTGGGGCTATCACAAACAATGCTACCATAAATGTATTTGTAAAAGGTTTGGGGTACATATACCCTAATTTCTGTTGGCTATATTCCTACCTAATTGCATTTTGACTACTGCTAAAGATGAATCAAATGGAGTTCCCTACCAAGAGACTGTCTAGATCCCATCTATCGAATGATACAATGCAGCATCTTCTGTTCCTATTGATTGATTCCAATGTGGAATGAGGAAGCATTATTGCACAGAGAACTTAATTATAACTGTGCTCAGCTGGAAAAGAAATGATATGGCCAGCCCAGTGGGCTCATTTAGCCAAGATGGGATTTTGTGAAAGAGAACAGCACCTATTGTGAATAGAAATGAGCTATGTGATGGGGCTAGATTTGATGGAAGGGACTAGACTTTTCTGAGGGATACCTATAGCATGAAATGAAAGCTTGGCCCACACCTGTTGTCTGCTCAGCTGACAACAAAGAGCCTGGGACAACTGTGAAAGGCCAGAGGCCTACACAAGACAGAAATACCACCTGTGCTCTTATGTCTGCGTTGTGTTGTTTTATTGCCTTTTTTGTTTCAACAAGCTAGTGGGGAAAGGGAAAACCACCTCAAGATACCACTCTCGGGACACAGCCACTCTTGGCCAGAGCTGCCTGCGTATTGGTCAGGGAGGAAGCTTCACCTGGGGAGCTTCACCACCCAGCATACAATAGTTTGAAAACAGACCATCACAGCAGAAGCTTCTGGTCAATGGTAGGTCATAGCAACACTAGAAATGGTTGTATTGGACTGCCTTGAGTACAACCAAATGCATGAAAGAAAGGCGTGGGCCAGCAGTTGTTTTCAATGATTCACTGGATAGCCTTTGTCTTATTTGTAAATACGTAAGTTACTTTATGTTCCATAAAATTCAGTGTCCTCATCTGTAAAATCTGGATTACATATTAATACACCTTCTTTGAAGAGTCATTTCAATGGGAAAAAAGTAGGTTAAGTTCTGTAAATTAAAAAAAAAAAAAAAAAAGATAATCAAGGGGATGGGAGGAGAGAACAGTATTCATTATTACTAAATCTACATAAGCTATAGCCTTCCTTCAATTAGTCATAAGAACTAATTCCCTAAATAAGGATCCATCAAAATGATGTATGTACTTTTCCCCCCCAGTTGAGATCATAACCCATAGGTCTACTAGGCATGAGGAGATCTTGGCACTCACAGGTAGAACTATCTCCTTGGGCGGAATCACCTTCCTCACTGCCTTTTTTCTTGAATTAAAATGCCCTCCTCACTTTCTAGATGGGCTTCAAAGTAAGACTTCATATGGGGATGGGAATGTGGCTAGAGGCTTCCACACTGTACAGTGGAATTCTAGACACTTCCCACTGCCATCAGGCCTTTCCACTCTTTCTCCCCAAATGTGGGTCCTCCTCAGATTAGGCAAAGTCCTGAACCACCTACATTGTGGCATGTCAAGCGGCAGAGGTAGCTTTGTAATTAGGGTTGATGTTAAGCTTTGGAGGAGGAGAAAGCTGTTTGTTTAGTCTATCTGAAGAGTGCCGAAGAAGGTTCTTATGAAGGAAAAACCCTTAGACAGGCATAGTCTCCATTTCCTCATCATCAATATTTTTTGGATTATATCCCTGAAGGTCGCTGCTAAAATGCAAATACATAATGGATGAGATGGTATAGTAAGACCTTATCAGTGAAGAAAACCTGTGTTCCATTAAATTATCTTTTTGGAAGAGAATAGAGTCAGAAGGGAGTGAGATGTAAGACAGGTATACCTTGACAAAAACACCTATCAAGAGTATGGAGAACTTGTCACACAAAAAGGGAGTGCAGTGGGAGTGGCTGAGCAGCTAGACAAGTGCTGAGGGTTGTGTGTGAGGGTATTTGGGAAACCAAATGCCAAAAGAGAAAAGATAGAAGATTCTAGAGACAATTTTCAAAACACTTTGAAAATATCTTCATATGATTTCATATACTTTTGCTTTATTCTCTCCACTAAGTAGTTTAGGAATCTCCAAATTCTACTCTCCTTTATTCTCTCATCCCCAACCCTTAATATAGGGCACTACTCTCTTTCAAGCACACCAATTCACAGAGCCATGAAGTGAGGACACTCTCAGAGAATTTAAAACACATCCTCTGAGTCAGGTGAGACCATAACCTTCAGAAAAGAAAGTGGTTTTAAGTCCCTTAAAATTGTGTGTAGTTCCACCAGAGTTTCAGATTTGAAGGAAAAGGCATCTATCTTTTTTGGGAATTTTATTGTTTATTTTTTCTAAATAAGTTATTTCTTTTATGAATAAAGAGTGATTATGGGCCCTGTCTGGGTGGCTCAGTTGGTTGGAGCACCATCCTGCACATCAAAAGATTATGGGTTCAATTCCTGGTCAGGACACATACCTAGGTTTCGGGTTCAATCCCTCTTGGGACATGTATAGGAGGCAACCAATCAATGTTTCTCTCTCTCCCTTTCTCTCTCTCTCTTTCTCTCTCTCTCTCTCTCTCTCTCTCTCTCTCTCTCTCTCTCTCTCTCTCTACATATATATATATATATATATATATATATATATATATATATATAATTGTTTTTCCCCCCTTAATATATATATATATCTCCTCAGGTGAAAATTAAGGGGGAAAAACAATAATTACGACTTTGGGAGAATATCTTCAGAGTTAAAAGTTCCTGTATCAAGCTTTATGGTAATTCTAACCCAATGATGCCAAGATACTGATATAACTAATTCACTTTTATATTTCTTTGTATAAAATTTAAGCAAATGGTCTAGGGAGGAGAAGAAGGAGACAGACATATATGTATGTATCAGAGCAATAATCCTGAATTTAAGACTTAAAATAGGCTTTGTGTCAATATGTATAAAGGATACAGAATACATACCCGTGTTTCCCCGAAAATAAGACATCCTCTGAAAATAAGACCTAGCGCAGCTTTGGGAGAAAAAATTAATATAAGACACTGTCTTATTTTCGGGGAAACAGGGTAGATGATTAGAGGAAATGAGGTTTCATCCCACATTACAGCAAAAATCTCACATTCAGCTTTTAAAAAAAAAACAAAACAAAAAACTGAAGTCATTTAAAACTCCCTTTCCTTAATCAAGAATTAAACCCAAGAAATATGCACCACTGAAGCCAAAGCAGGAGAAAACAGCCAGAAAACAGTACCTACAGAATTCAGGCAAATGTTCCAAGTGGCTCCCTCACAGCTGAATATGGGCTAATCAAGGAGCCGGAGGGTTCTTTTTTTAGGAAAAGTTTTAGAACATGATAAACTCCTCTGAATCCATCCAGCAAATCTCCTTAGAAATCGAGGGATAACCAAAAGAACAACAAAGCTTTCTCAGGCCTCTCCCATGGCACTGGCACTGGGCTAGAAATGCAGGATTGAGCCATTACATGGTCACATCAAACTCAAGTAAAAGTTGCATCTCTTCCCACATCCTCTCCAGCATTTGTTGTTTGTTGATTTATGGAGGGCTGAGAAAGGAGTGGAGGGAATCGATGCGGGTGGGGGGAGTGGACATCTTTCAACAATAGAGATAATTTTTTTTTTTAAAGCTGCATCTTAAGCCCCTCCCATCAGCCCATTCAGTGTTTGGTTCCTGCTCCTTTTCGCTGTGTAGAATAGATTTATCACTTGCAGGTTTCCAAGACACAGAAGCTTAACATTCCTCTTGCCCTCCTCAACTTGCACCTAGATTTGGTTTGATGAATCACTTTAATATACAAAAGGATTGAAAAATAAAAATCAATGTATGCCAGTCAATAGAACTTTAGAAAGAACTTCCATTGCTCAGCTTTGTTTGACTACAAAGGGAAATTCACTTGTGGTCCAAAAATGTACTAAATAGAAAAGCTAATAATGCAGATGGTACGCTCTGATTGAATCAAAGACATTGCCAACTGGTCTTATCTCAAAGCAGAGGAAGCCAAGTATCTCAAGGTATTCTGTGTCTTTGATTCCATCTGAAAAGTGCCAGAGAAGGGGCAGCCAGACAGCTGACCCAGCCCAGAAGGATGCTCATGGCTGGGAGACATCAGCTCTCCTGGCTCTAGTCCCTGTCATCTATTTTATTCCTATTCTGGGCTATTCCAGGGGCATTTGTAGATGAAGAAGCATCTTGGAAGGGGTTCCCCATGTTCTGATTTGAAGGACACAGCTAACAGATGGCCCAACCAGAAACACCTTCCCTGACTCTGACTACCAGATGGAAATCCCCTATTGGACCCCCTGAGATGGGTCCTAGAAGACTTATTTTTGAAAGCAGACAGTGGGTTGTATTACATGCTATTTGCAGGTATTGACAATCAGTATGGCCACATGTATCAATCAGGTTATCTCTATACCTATGAGCATTTGTTAAGAGAAGAATCAAGGTTAACTTGGGTAGGAGAACAAGAAATTCCTACCCATAAAATCCTCAAGCAAACAGAGCTCACCTCAGAGCCTACCTGCATTCATCTGTTAGGAGTGACAGTACAGAATTAAGCCAGCTCTGAGTTCACTCTGACAACCTGCCCCAAGGCATTTGGCTGCACAGGAAGAAAAGGAAACTGACAAATCTTCATTATGTTGATTATGTTAATTATGTTAATTATGACAAGTTCTTTTCCACATTCAGAGGGAAGCATTGTTTACAAAAGTTGAAATCTCTGCTGTCTCTAAAGGCTCTCCGTGGGAAGAACCACTTCACTTGGGGGAAACCAAGGGATTCTGTTGTTCCCTTTCTTGAGTAAGTCATTTTCTAGAGCCAAAAAGATATTCCTAGCTCTCATCACTAACAGACTCGGTTCTCACAATTTGTGTTATTATCTGGCCCACTAATGACTCTCTCTAAACTGGGGTGGCATTGTCTCTCTCTCAAAGTTTGATATCTTCCAAGAATGGTACAAGGCACTTCGACCCACCTGTACACACCTGAAGCCCTCACTCTACTATTCTCTGCTTCTTCCTTCATGAGTTGGATCCTCCTTCTTCCCAATTCCCTAAGTCATTTCTTTATTTTTTTTTTCCAAGAGTTTTCTAAAATACTTCTCTAGTTAGAAAATGGGTAATTAGTACATGTGAATGTCTCCTATAAACAAAATGCTCATAATTTTTCCTGATTCCAGCTATACATCTGCCACCACATCTGGACTCCATGAAGCCTGAAACACTGCCATCACAGACCATCCCACAACCGTGTATCTGCTCTCACTTTCTCTTGATGACATAAGTGCTCCACTTCAGACATCTAGGCAGGCATCCCTGTCCTCCTTGATTTCAAAACAGTGCCCAATAGAAATACAATGTGAGCCACATCTAAATTTAAATTTTCTAATAGTGTGCTCGCTTCTAAAATTGGAACAATACAGAGAAGATTAGCATGGCCCCTGCGCAAGGATGACATGCAAATTCGTGAAGCATTCCTTTTTTTAAAAAAAAAAAAATAAATTAATTTTCTAATAGTCACATTAAAAAGGTAAAAAGAAATGGGTGAGGTTAACTTTAATAATATATTTTATTTAACCCAATATATCCAAACATCAACATGTCACCAAGAAAATTATTAATGAGCTACTTTACATTTTTTCCCATTAACTTTTCAGAATCCACTACATATTTTATGTTTATAATACATCTCAATTTAGATGTTTATATTTTCTCTGGAAGTACTTGGTCTATATCTAGGTTTTACAAAATTTACAGCAGAAAAGTAGATTCACATACCCAAGCCGTTCAGTGCTGTGCGATGTCCCAACCAACACCTGGCCTCAGAGTTTCCTGACCCCTGAAGATCAGTCGCCTTCAATTCCTTTCCTTTCCAGTGACCCACATCCACAGCTACTATCCAGATTTTGTCATAACCCTAAACTACTCCACATCTCACGCCATTCCATATCCATGCTCCACTAGCTTCCTGATCCTTTCATTCCTCTGACCATACAGAAACACTCAGACCCTGGAGACCTCCCTATAACTCCCAGTCCATCATCCAAACTCCTGTGCTCAGGGCAAAAAGAGAAGATGAGGAGTTAAGTCTCAGACTGCACTTAAGCGCTGCCACTTATAGGCCATGAGGCCTTGGGTCTCTCTTTCCCCCTGTCTAAAATAAGATTAATAGCACTGTTGAGTAGGTTCTGTGAGAATCAAAAATAAAGCACTTATTATAGTACTGTGTAGTCATTATATAAATTTGTGAAATAAACTTTTCTGTCCAGCCAGGGTAAAACAATACCCTCTCCAGCACACTCCACTCTCCTGTTCCTTTGTCCTACTGTCCCTCTCAGCAGGCAAAGCCATACCCAGATCCAGACTGCCGTCTGCCTTCTTATTATCTATACCAGCTTTTCAACTGGTGTTTTAAAACATGCAATACCTGACTATTTAGTCAGGGGCATTGACCTCTTTTCCCTTAGACTGTCAAGAGAAAATAAAAATATGACAACAGCCAACAATAGGCATCCCATGTAAATGAATCAAAAGTGTACCTTTTTTTTTTTTTTTGGTCAGATCAGAAAAAAAAAAAAGAAAAAAAAAACACACCTTATTCTTTTTGTATGCCTCAGAATTTTAGTAATTAATTTATGTCCCATGAGATGAAAAGGTTTGAAAATTGCTGATCTATACGCAAGCCAACTAAGACCTACTCGAGAAATCTGACAGAGCGTGCCAAACTGGTGTGAACATAAATGCAAGGTCTCGTGTCAGCATTCCTGCGTGAGCAGTTTATTCGCGCTCAGTCAGTTCTCTCTGCCATTCCCCACTCCTAACAGGCTTTTCCCCTGAAGGCTGTGAAGGCCAGGGGGAACACTGGCAAATCTCTAATGAGAAATTATTGGAGAACTGGTTTGGGATTTTTGTTTGCTTTTGCTTGATTTCACACTGTAGTAACAGCTGTGTTATAGAAAAATGAAAATGGTCTCTGCTCAGCCTAACTCATCTCTAGGAGGGCAGAGTTGCCCAGACTTGAGGAACTAGGATGTTATTGTCAGAAGAGAACAGCAGGAGAGCCAGAGGAAATTACAGAAGGCATGGAAATAAAGCTGAAAGAAGAAAAAAATTTCCTTAAGAAGAAAACGAAGCTCTTAGAAACCAGAGTGGGCAAACTCAAGAGAGGTGTCGCTATTCCTGCTTTTAAGCATAGTGTGGCGGGCTGAATAATGGCCCCAAAGATGCCCACATCCAAAGCCCCAGCATCTGTGGCTACACCTTATAGGAAAAAGGGAATTTGCAGGTATAATTGGGTGAAGGATCTTGAGGTGGGGAGAATATCCTGCACTATTGGGTGGGCCCCAGGGATAACCACAAGTGTCCATACAAGAGGGAGGCCCCGGGAGCCTTGATGTTGAAGTTGGAGTTGTCATGCCAGAAACAGGAGATTAGAATGATGTGAGGAAGGGGTTGATTGTGAGCCAAGAAATGTCAAGACAGCCTCCAGAAGCTAAAACAAGCAAGGAAAGATTTTCCCCTTGGGCGTACAGCAAGAACCAGCCCTGCTGATACCTTGACTTTAGTAAAACTGATTTTGGAATTCTGAACTGCAACACTGTAAGAGAATAAAATCTGTTGTTTTAAGCCATCAAGTTGGTAGTCATTTGTTACAGCAGCAGTAAGAACCTAATACACACAAGTAGTGTGGAAAACCTCAAGTGTTATAGGAGCATCTCCAGGGTATGGGTCTGGCCTGTGCCACGAGGGTGCACACTCAGACTTGGTCATTAGGGTCTCAGCCCGATCACTGAAGCACGCCCACAAAGGACAGTCATAGGGACAGCGCTGGATCAGTGTGAGCTTGGGCTCAACAGTGTTCCTACAGATGGTGCCTCCTAGAAGGAAGCAGCCTGCTCAGAGGAGGAGTAGAAGGACTTATTTGAAAAAACAGATGCTTTATCTCTGGACAGCATGATTCAATGGTTAGAGCCATGGTTTGTGCCATCAAAGGATCTCAGGTTTGATTCCCTATTAAGTGCACTTACCTGGGTGGAAGTTCCATCCCACGGATGCAACCAATGGATGTGTTCCTCTCTCCCATCAATGTTTTTCTCTTGCTCACTCCCCTTCCTTCTCCCTTCTACTTCCTCAAAAAAATCTCTATCTAGATTTGTTATGAGTTGAATTGTGTTCCCCCAAAATTCATATGTTGAAGTCCTAATACCTTAATACCTCAACATTTGGGTTGTTCAAAACTAGGGTCACTGCAGATATAATCTGTTAAGATGATTGAACCCCTACTCCAATATGACTAGGGTCCTCCTAAAAGGGGAAATTTTGGACAAGAGACACAAAGAGGACATCACATACAGACTGAAGGTATGCGCCTCAAGCCAAGGAACTGCAGAAGCTCAGGGAGAGGCCAAGAGGAGACCACCCTGCAGAGGGAGCATGGCCTGACAGCACCCTGACCTTAGCTCTGGTTGTCAGCTTGGGAGATAATACATTTGGTGTTGAAGCCATTCCATTTGCAGTACTTTGTAAATATATATATTTTTACATTGATTTCTGAGAGGAAGGGAGAGAGAGAGATAGAAACATCAATGATAAGAGAGAATCATCAATCAGCTGATTCCTGCACAGCCCCCACTGAGGATCGAGCCCACAACCTGGGGTATGTGCCATTGACCAGAATCAAACCCAGGTCCCTTCAGTCCGCAAGCCGACACTCTATCCACTGAACCAAACCAGCTACCGCCATTTGCAGTACTTTGTTATGGCAGCCCTCAAAACCAAAATTCTGAGGAAAGAATAAAGAGATGGCATAAAAGCTCCCTGATTCAGTAGACAGTGGAGGAGTGAGAAAGACTTATTTGAAAAACAGATTCAGGGTAAAGAAAGAAAAGGCCAGTTGCAAAGAGCAAGTTAAAAACATTACAGCTCAGCTGGGCTGTATTAAGTCTAGTTATTATTTGGTCTGACTGTTTGCAATGAAGACAATAAGAATAACAATTACATAGGCTTTTTTAAAAAAAAAAGATTTGCTTTGCTGGAATTTCATGATTGAGCTTTAATTAGCCCTGCAGAGCATCATCAGGTTTTCCTTTAGACTTGTGTGAATTCCTCAAGTTGAGTTCCCCAATGATGTCTTAAGGTTCCTTCCTTGGCATCTCCCAGGAAAGCAAACTTTGTTCCTTACCTGGAAAGACGACCGAGAACCACGTAATCAAGCAAAGGTACTAGGCTTTCTCCAAGAAGCTCTTATTGGCTTTATCTTTAAAGCTTTCTGGTGACATCCAGAGCCAAGGCATGTTAGGCATGACATTCCAAAGTCTTCGTTAATAAAACCACCATTGAAAACTGGTCTTATTGAATTCATGTAAAGAAACATATTGCCATGACTATTAAAAACTTCCAAATTCTGGAGGGATATGGTAGAGTGAAAAAATATATCATTAACAAAATTGCTTTAAAAATGCTTCCTTATATATGAAAAACAAAAAGTTAATACTAGTGATACTTTCAAATGTTATTAAGAAAAAATCTATTAAGTATTTTCAATTCATTCAGTCCCATAATCAATTATTTGTTTGTTTTTCCTGTCAGTACTTCTATAAATTCTGGGCCTTGTCACCTGGCTGTTCTCCTGGAAATTAGTCATTTTCCTTTGAGTGCCCCAGCAACTTGGCCATTGCCAACACTAATACCCAAACACCACTCACCCAAGTCATGAGCACATGCAGCCTAAGGTGACAGGAGGGAATTCAGAGGGGGTTGCAATGGAGCAAAACAAACAACAAATAATTTTGAAGAGAATGTTAAAAATTCCTGTTCTTAAGAGGACTTGCCCACTGCTCCCTTGGGAAGACCTGATGGTCCATCTTGCCCACAGGCTCCAAGCTCCTCCGCTGCAGAGGGGCCTCGCCCTCCGCACACACAGGTGTGAACCCCAGGAAGGTCCTCAGGCCCCTGCAGGGCATCACCTTCCCTCCCTCAGTGGCTCCCAAAGGCCTCCCTAAGATTTCCGGGGCCAATAATTAAGCTGCCAACCCAATACTATTCAAATCTGGTTTAAAACTGGTTCCTTAATTTTATGGGTTGTTGTTTTTTTTTTTAATTCTGCTCACTTTCCCTTCTTTTTAATAACCAATTAGTGTGATTTGTTCTATTTTTTAGTTTACTGCTGCTTTTGGCTCAAGTTCCTGCTTATAAATAAACCTACTCTGACTCACCTACACTATGCATTTTGCTTTACATCATGTTTTGACAAAGTTAAAAAGGAATATGAAGTAACCAACTGCCTCTACTTTAAACTTATCTTAAGAAGTTAAAATTGTCCTAGCCAGTTTGGCTCAGTGAATAGAGTGTTGGCCTGTGGACTGAAGGGTTCTGGCCGAGGGCACATGCCCAAGTTGCAGGCTAGATCCCCAGAGGGAGTGAGGGGACATGCAGAAGGCAACCAATTAATGATTCTTTTTCATTGTTGATGTTTCTATCTTCTCTTCCTCTCACTTCCTCTCTAAATTAATAAAAATATATTTTTTAAAAAAGAAGTTAAAATTTATTCTTCCTAATAACAACCCAACAATTGGATACTTATAAAAATGAGCCAATCTTTTTTTCTAAATATGATAAGAAGATTTTGACTTTCATTTGAAAGTAATTGTACAGAATTGAGTCATTAAATTACTAACACATTTCTTTTCTTCAATCCAGGAATAGCATCAGAATGTATAAGTGATTTCACACATATTTGGACATTGCCCCCTGCCAGTGCCCTTAAATTCATTTCATCTCATTTAAATGTTAAAAGCAGGGGAGGGGAAAGGAGGCACGTTTTTGCTAATGGTGGACAGTTTGGCAACACTGTTGTGTCCTAGGAATTCTGAAAATTTATCCCTAACTTCCCTGCTCCCTCTCCCTCTCTCAGAGACCAGTTCCTGGTATTGTGTATGTATACTCTAGTTATCTCCTTAAAGAGGGAATTCTATATGAGTGCAGGTAATAGATTCTATGAAAAGAACACAGACATATGATTACTTGAATTCTGGCTGGGCCATTTCTAGCTACATAACATTGTATGAGTTCCTTAGCCTCTTTGAGACCCAGTTTCCCCATGTATAGCTTGGAGTTATCAGAAAAATTTATCCAAATTTTCAAAATAGGCAAGAAGGCTTACCGAGTGTTCCGTGTGGTGCTATGTTTGCCTTTCTATTTGTCTGGGATGTTTTTTCTCTGTCGGAGCAGAATTTAACTTGCACATTTTTGTCCAGTAAGGATTGATGGGGTTCAGGACACACTACCCTAAATATGACAGCTTGGCTTACTGAGCATCTTAAACTGAAGGAATTTGAGGGGGAAAAGGGAGCAAAAGCAGAAGGTCACTCTGACCTCCTTCCCCTCCTTTCCGGAAACAGGTCCTGCTGCTCCCCTGTGAAAGGCCCCTCCCTGTGCCAGGAGGAAGACATTCTTATCACCAGATGGGAAGTTGGGGGTCCAAAAAAAGCTGTACCCACAAACCTTGTTAAATAACCCTAATCTGCCTAGATACTTCTTCACCATTCGCTACCCTAACCCTAAACTCCTCTGTGTTAATTCTTCACAAATTTCTTGTTTCTTTGCCCTCCCCTGTGCTCAGCATCAAAGGTCTGAGAGACAACCACGACCACAGACTTCTGCACGTCACCTGAGGGAGCTCCCAGGTGTAGCTCCCAGGCCCGCAGGGGCCCCTGAGACTTTGTCAGCTGGCCCATGAGGTTAAAATCATTCCCATAATGACATTAAGACGTGATTTGTCTTCTTCACCGTTTCTGACACTTG